ATTTGTTGGCGCACGAAAGAAATAGATATCGGAGATTTGTTCCTACTGATATAAAATATTATCTTAGCCGCATCACGAAAAGGTCTATATGATAGAGTTTGTGAGCCTGAAACGCCACAATCTCCGTGACTGTATTAATTTACGAACTTTGCTTTTTTGATTAAATATCACTTTAATGTCGGTATTTATTTTTATAATATTATTATCTTATCGTGCGATCCGTGTGTTTTTAATACAAAAGTTTAGCTGTTCCGTAGTAACGTACGGGCACGCTGCCTAGTTATAGGATAAGAGTAAGACAACTCTCTGTTTTTTGGCTGACGTGCGTGCCCGGATAAAAGACGGTGAAAAAAAAACATGCCTCGATTTTGATTTATAAACAGTGAATAACTAAAATAAATCAGATAAGAAAAGAAAAACCCGGCCAAAATAAATAAACAAAACCCGAGCACAGGGCCGTGCCGGCGGTCACGCTGTTCAATAGAGAGATTTGAATCCCTGACTCACAGCTCGTTAACCTTTTAATTGTGACGGAAATATGTTTCCAGATGAAACGATGAAGGCCATGTTCGGCTGGCCGAAAAAACGGCTTATGCTGATGCTGATGTTGATTTGTTGCGAGAGAAAAATACTGTTATTTCGCTGAAACGGTACAGCTGATAAGTTCAAGCGAACAGGGCCGAAACTTCTCAACAAGTTCCAAAAAAGTTGCCAGGCACATATTTAGTTTCTTTTTGAATAAAAAAAATACACCAGAGATCCATTAACTTTTGAGGATGTATCATTTAGGTCCGACAAGAGTCCCTAAACTTAAATGCTATATGTCAACCGGTTGATTTCGTCGCTCTCCATCAACCGAATTTGTGGCCACTGGATCCGCGGCCAGACCATCTCCCTCGTCGGATCCGCATCGTCGCCATAGCCACCGAGGAAGCCACGACGGGTAGCAGCGGGAACAAGTTCATGTCCTCGACGACGATGGGCTTGGGGACAGGGGCAAGGGAGCGGCCGTTGCCAGAGTAGCCACATCCCCCGCGGCCGATAGTAGTGTCATTGCCTGGGCGGCGGTGGTAGCCTCCCTGCTGCTGCTAGTACCCACCGCCGTTGCCGCCCTGGTTGTGGTAGCCGCCGCCACTACCCAGGTTGGGGAAGGGAAGGGAAGGGAAGGGGTAAGGTGGTGGTGGGTCCCACTACAAGTTGTGAATAATTTGTATTTTTTTTGAAAATTGTGAATAATTTGACATATATTTCTCTGATGTCTGGAATCCATAAAAATAATTTGGATTTTTTTGAAAAAATTGGCATATATTTGTGTTATTCGCAAATTACATCACACCGACCAATAATTTACACTGAAGAAATCATTATAAATATAGTAATAAGGTGGTTTAAATATAGCTATAAAATTGTGTAAGTGTATGGAAAAAATTCAATTGACAGGAGTACCCAAAACAACTGAATGTCACCTCGACTTAAATGGTTCACTGGAGGTCCATGCCTGATTTATGTTTGTATTTTACATAAACCTCTCTCATTTTCTTTATCTTTCACATGTTTACCTCTGCTCGTCTTCTTAGCGCACGGGAAGCGAGGGCCGCGTCCTCCAGGGCCTCTCCTCGCCGCATACCCGCGGGTCGCTCGTCGCTGAGGCCTCCAGGAGCGGGGTCCGCCTCACAGAGCGCGACATCCGCGCCTAGGCTGGCGACACGTGGCGCGCGGGCTGGCGTACCTCCATGGCCTGTCGCTCGTGCATCGGGACGTCAAGGCCAGGAACGTGGTGATCGGCGGCGACGGCCACGCCAGGCTGACTGACTTTGGGTGCGGGAGGCCCGTCGAGTCGACGCAGCCCATTGGGTGCACCCCCCCGCCCGGCGTTTCAGTCCACGTAGTCATATCTTTTTGATTCAGTTGTTTGTTTAATTTGTAGAGAAAAAAATCATGGGCGGTCCTCTAACTTGGCAAGGGGTGTCATCTAGGTCCCTCTACTCTTAGAATGTCATATCTGGGCCTATGAACTTGGCTTCGGATGTCATCTAGATCCAAATGGGTCCAAACCCACTCTGGGTGCTGATGTGGCGTGCTGACTATACACTGAGGTGGCTCCTACATATGGGGCCCACATGTCAGTTAAATATATTTCTATTTTATTTTTCCTTGTCACTTTTTTCTGCCTCTCCTATCGCATCTGTAGAGCACGGACCGACGGTGATGGCGGGTGGGCAACATCGTTCTCTGGCGAGCCTGCTCCGGTGCGACGGAGCAGGCGGGCATGGTAGGCACGCCGGAGCAGGCGCACGAGGCTGCCGTGCCAAGGACCTCCTCGCGCAGGCCGCGCCGCCGTGCTGCGGCCTATGAGGCACTGCTCCTGGCGGTCGACGAGCTCGCGTCGCGCGCTGCGCCGCGGACGCCGTCGCGCTCGGCGTGGAGCGAGTAGATGGGCACGTTGAGTACGGGCGCCACGCAGACGTGCACCAAGTACGACCGCTCCATGACGAACGGCACCCGCCGGCTAGGCTGCTGGAGCTCCGCCTGAGGCCGTTGAACACCAACTTGCTCGCCGCGTTGAGGCGCGGGCTGTAAGCCGCCGCCGGTGGCAGGGTGCGATCGCGATCGGGGCTAGGGCGTAGTCGCGGGCCGACGCCGCCTGCTGCTGCTTTGACGCGGATGGGGACAACGGATCTCGAGAGGCAGCAAAGCTCTAAGTCGTCGGCCTCGACCGCATGCTCGCAGCGCGCGCTGCCTAGTTGCCTCACCCACTTGCTGCGCTGCGGCGCCTCGCCGCCGCGTCGCGAGCACCCGCCGCCGCCAGGGACGGCGATGAGGAGCAGAACCACGGACACCCACGCGCCCCGGCGACCGTGCTGGTCCGGATCTTTGCCTTGCCGCGCGCCCCAGGAAGGACGTGGGGAGGCAGTCGCGCGAGCTTCGTCGTCGCCGCCGCTGGGCACCCGAGCCAACGGGCGAGGAGAAGAACCACGCCACCACCCACACGCACGCGCTCCCCGTCATCAGCCACCACCGTCGACGGCACCACGCGGAGGCAGTCGGGCTTCACGAGGAAGTTGTCCTCGGCACGCAGGGCCAGGCGCTCGGAGTCCCCCACTACCGCATCCTCGCCGCCCTGTGCCGTGTACGCCCGCCTAACCGCGAGCTCCGATGCCGCTGCCGGTGCGTGCTTTGCCGGTGAGACAGGGGAGGGAGAAAAAAAGTGACAAGAAAAAAAATAGAAATATAGTCCACCTGACATGTGGGCCCCACATGTAGGAGACACTTCAGTGCACAGTCAGCGTGCCACGTCAACATCAGAGCGGGTTAGGATCCGTTTGGATCTCGATGATACCCGAAGTCAACTTCATGACCCAAAAATAACATTTTCAGAGTTGAGGGATCTAAGTGACACCCTTTGCCAAGTTAAAGGACCGGCCATGCATTTTTCTCTAATTTGTATCATCAAACTATCAGCACTCTTGTAAATTCATGAGAAAACAGGAAAACATGACTTCGGATTGGAGGCCAATTCACTGACACCAAAAGAATCAAACAAAGCAACGTGAAAAGTTTCAGAAATCACATTAGGGAAAGGGACGGTTTCTTGGAGGGGCTCCCTCGGTTGACACATGAGCAATTGGGCACCACGGTGGTTGAGTGGACAAGCGTTCGACAGTGACGCCTGCTTCCGTGTCCTCTGATTTCTAACTTACAGCCTGTTTGGGTGGCTTGTGCTTGTCGTAAATGATCGTAAATTTCTAGCCGGAACATTATTTTTTTCTCACACCAAATCAGCCAGCAGTACTTCTTCCGAACCAGCAACAAACAAGCCCAGCCAAACGAAACAGGCTGTTAGTAGCTCTATTAAAATCCCTCAGGTTGCTACGTTAAAATCACGAAAGCGGAGTGGAGACTGCGACGAATTCGACGTCTAGATCTAGCGCTTCCGGTATTCAGCAAGCAGCGCTGTACTGCCATGAATAATGTGTATATATCTATCTGCTTGGACTTGGAACGTACTAGAAATTTCGTAACAACTTTATTTGTTGGGTTTCGCGAGGAATAGTTCAATTCAAATTGGATTCAGTAAACGCCTCGAAGCTGTGCTGGTCGCGGCCAGCCGTGGCGGGCACACGACGAGTACTGCGCTCTCCTGTAAGGGGCGGAACTGGTGAAGGATATGTCCGAAGGCTCCGGCAGGCACATGTTTTTGTTCATTCACACTAAACAATCTACACACAGTAAGCAACAAATGTGCCAAAAAAAGAGGAGTTCAACACCTGATTTCCCCTTATGTAGAACTGACACACCAGATAACAACTCTAGCTCTATGTAAGTCCGTAACCGGATGCATGAGTGAACAAAATTAAATTCATATGCTACTCGGGAAGTGCAAGTGTCAGAAAAAAAATAGACCCTTTCAGAAAGAAAAAAAAGATGGTAAAAGAGAATGGAGAGAAGGAATCAAAGCGAAGTGGGACAGGTGGTCGGCCAGATCGGAATGTAGCACTCTCGTACATGTGCTACGTGGGTCGTTAACCGTTGGAAATTAAAACTCCATCCGCCTTAAAACTCCCAGCTCTCTCAAAACACCTCTCCAAACTCCAGCTCAATCGAGTTTTTATATCATAATAAAAAAACAAATGTACACACCTTTGCTTCTCCCTCTGGTTATATATATGGGCCTATATATATCCGTCTACATTTGCTCTCTCTAGAATCTGGATATGCACGCATGTACATCCAGACATCGATGCACGCGTACGTACGTGAGACACTCGGACACACATACATATACATACGAGCTGTGCCGTGCCGACCATCCATCCTCCACCATGCGCATGCGCCTATTAGGACAGCAGCAGCAAGTCGATCGTACTTCTAGCTAGAGATAGCAAGCTTATATATAGCCGTCGTCCGTCGTGACATACCTGCAGCTATCTAGCTAGCTACTTTCTTTCTTTCTAGTACGTACGCGCTAGCCGCTCGTCGGTCGGTCGGCGGCGCCGCTGATGATGGAGTACAGGGAGACGACGGGGCATCCGACACCGCCGCCTGCCGTGGAGCTCGCAGGCGGCGGCGGCCGCGAAGACGAGGACTGGTACGACGTGGCCACGACGGCCGGGAGGACGACAGAGCCGCCGCCGCTCACCCACGACGACAACCGGGGCTTCCTCCGGATGCTGCGCGACAAGAAAGAGAGGTGATGATTGTACTGAACAGATCGACTATAGTAACATCCATGCATGCATCGATCAATCTGTTACTATTACATATAAGAGTTGCAAGTCCTGACGCATGTCATGCATGGTCTGTGTGATGAACTGGCATGGTGGAGAGCAGGCTGGGCGTGGAGGCGCCCAAGGTGGAGGTGCGCTTCGAGAGGCTCACCGTGGAGGCGGACGTCCGCGTCGGCCGCCGCGCCGTCCCGACGCTGCTCAACTGCGCCGTCAACGCCGCCCAGGTAACTAACGAACCCGCCAATTTTTTCCATCGTCGTCGACTCGTCGTGTTCCTTCAATTCCTACGCCGCCGCCGCCGCCGCAGGAGCGATGTGTTGTTGTTCTGTTAATTGCTTCGTTCCTTGGCTTTCTTTGTGGCTTTGTCTCGCCTCCTTCCTCTGGGTGCATGTACTGCTGCAAGATGCAAGGCATTTTCTTTTTCTTTTCTTTTTTATTTTTCAAAAACACTTTTCTGCTATTTTATAATTTCGTCACTCGGATAGAGAGATAATAATAAGAGAGAAAAGGGCTGTGGATTTGGTGAGACACGTCGAATGGATTGTCCTATCCTAATACCTTGCTCCGATCCGTTTTCCGTTGAGGTGCGTATAGGTTACGCGGCGCCAACGATCCTAGCTGCAGCAACTGCAGGTGCTTCTAGGTTACATCGAGCTATGTGGAAGGAGAATCTTGTATTAATCTCCCTAGCAGCCGCTTCTATGGCCCCATTCTCTTCGTGAAAAAACAAACCGAAATATTGTTCCGACTAATTTATTGTAAGAGAAAAATACTGTTGTGAACTTTTGGCTAAAAAAACAAGCTGAAAGCACGGATTATAAGATAAATGAACAGGGCCTATACAGTTAAACTTATTTAAAATTGGCTAGATCTATAGAAAATAATATTAATATTTGTACTTCACCTCTGTTCTTTTTTAAAGTGTCACCTAGATTTTTGTATCAGTCAAACTTTGTTAAGCTCTAGTAGACTTATATAAAATATTAGTAACATTTATATCAAATAAGTATATTATAAAAAATATATTTAATGATTAATCTAACGATACTTTTGACACACCATAAATATTAGTAATATATTGCATATATTTACTTAAAGTTAAACATGTTTAACTCCTCGGTATGCGATAACGATACTTAAAAAAGGATAGAGGAAATATTTTTTTAGGACAGAAGTAGGTAGCAGACCATTGATTCCATCTACTACTGTTGATATAAAAAATAAATTCTGAAAGTTTTAAATTGGACCATATTAAAGTTGCATCACTCAGAGTCAACGTAGCTATAGATCTTATATTTCCTGAAATTTAGGACGGAGACAGAACCAGAGTCTGGCCAGCCAGCCAGCTGGGACCGTTAGGCCAGCCTTCAACCTTCGAATTCATATTTCCTCGTAGGAAGCAGTGCAGACAACAGAGCACACAACTTGACAGTCAACCATGACCACGACGAGACCGCCTTTAATGTGAGCTTATCCTAGAGTGTTTGGCTACCATTATAAGCTTGCTTATAAGCTGGTTTATAAGTCATGGTATAGTATTTTTTTCTTCCAACAAATCAACCATACAAATTAGTATAAACAGCTTTACGAGCAGCCGAACAGAGCCTAATCAGCAATTTTGATTACGGGGACCCAACAAATACGATGACAGCAGTAAGTGTGATAAACATATATATAAGTGCATGTCTCAACAACTTTTTTGCATATATGGTTAGTATTTATAACAAAAAATCATACTTTAACTTATCAGCCTAGCTTGTTAGCCATGGTATAGAGTTTTTCTCTCACAACAAATCAGCGAATAGTGCTTTTCAGCGAAACGAACAGGGCCAAAAAAAATGGGTGAATTGATGCCTTGTTGGGCTGCAAATTGCAGTATGTGTTGTGTACTAAATAAAAGTTCTACTGTATTGAGGGGTGGAGCATGGGGGGAGGGGGCACGGTCCCTACTGCGCCCCCACCTATAGTTGGCCAACAGGCCGGCCCAGCCCAGGCCCGGGCCAGGCACGGCCCGTAGGGGTGGTCGGCCCGGCACGGCACACCGTGTCTCCCATGCCGTGCCCCTCCGAGTCTCATGCCTGGCCTTCGGCCCAAGCACGGCCCTACGGGCCGAAATCCATGCCATGCCGGTCTGGTAAACATGGCTAAATCCGCGCGCCGTGCCAGTCCACAGCCCAGTGCCATTAAAACACCTCAAACTGCCTTTCTCATCCAACACTTCTCCATTCTCGCAATCACATTTCACAATTCATTCCCATTTCAGTATTTCACATTCACAAGTAATAAACTGATCACAGTCACAGATTCTCAATTCTAACAAAGCTACCAAAGGAGACCAGAGAATTAAAATAACTGAGTTGTTTGTGCAATGTTGCCTCATTAAAAACATTTCTAGATAAACCTCACCCTTGTAAGAAACTCTAGAAAGAGAAAAAGAGTGCAGCACAGCTCTTAATAAGTCTTCCATCATTGTTCAAAGGTCCCAAGTCACACTGTCACAGTCATAGATGACAGATACAAAATAGAGATAACAGATTAATAGAGCACTCTCTCCTCTCTCAACACTAATTACCAGCCGCCCTAGATGTACCAGCCCTAGATGAACCAGCCCTAGCCCCAGATGAACTAGCAGTACCAGCAGCCCCATCTACATCTTCATCGAGGTACATATTCTTAAAGGAGTCATCTAGCACTTGGTTGTCAACAGCATGTTGTAATCTGCTTTCTCCCAACTCCTAATCCTTTATGCAGGCCAGCATCTCCACAGTTTCAGGCAAGAGACGGCGTCGCCGCTCTTCAATTATCCTTCCTGTCAAGCTGAAACATGATTCCGAAGAGACAGTAGAAACAGGAACAGACATAATATCTCTAGCCATTATAGATAGGATTAGATATGTTAGTTTATGATCACGCCACCAGAGAAGTAAATCAAAATCATCCTCATATGCAGTGACATTGTCCCTGTCCAGATAAACTGAGAGCTTATTAGCAGTAGAAGCAGATGAAGATAAAGTGGGGGCACAGACAAGGGAATGACCAACAACAGATCCAGGGCCTCCAAAGATTATTCCTCATACCTATTTTCTCTTACCTGTATGGATTGCAGGCTGTGCAACCCTTTGACTCCTAGCTGCACCAAACTTTCTCTCATATTTGTTAAATAACTTATAAATTTTAGTTTTCACATCAGCATAATATGAAGTATAATCACAACCGGTGCTCTCTTTAAGTATAATCATCTTAGCTCTAGGATCAAGAATGAATGCAAATGAATATAACAGAGGTATATGTTGCCAGTATTTAAGGAATTTAAGTTTCATATAATATACAACAGCAATTAGATTTTGATGTAAATGAGAAGCAATTTTTAGCAGATGGTGCAGGATAAGTGGACTAGTTGGATAATAAATACCAGAAAGAACAACAGTGGAGTCATAAAATAGTTCCAGAAACTCCAATATCTTTTCAGCTATATACCAATGCCTTGCAGACAATAATTCAGAGCCATAATTGAAATTAATGAACACAGAAAAACATGCTTATATGGAATCAAGTGTTTAAACATAAGATATGTAGCATTCCATCTAACATCCTTATCTAAGCCAAACTTTATAAGTCTAACACCCTGAGCAGTATAGTAGTTCTTAAACATAACAATTCTTTGATTAGAGGAATTTAAGAAGTTAATAGCAGTTCTAAAATCTTCTGTGTAAGGTTTGAACCTCTTTAAACTAGATTTTACAATCAGATTAATGATATGACAAGCACAACGTTGATGCACAAGACTGTACTTACGCTTAAAAGGATCAACAGGCTCAGGTGTAGGATCAGGACCCAAATAACCAGCAAACATAGGTATCAATGTTTCCATAGCCTTAGCATTAGAAGAAGCATTATCTAGAGTTACAGAGAAAACCTTATCAATGAGACCAAACCCCTCAACCACACAAGCAACTCTTTCAGCAATATTTTCACTAGTATGTTTCACCTCAATCAACTTAAACCTAATAACCTTTTTCTGTAACTCCCAATCAGCACTAACAAAATGAGCAACAACACTAATGTAATCCTTCTTAGCATTATCAGACCAAATGTCTGATGTCAGAGCAACAGAGGAAACAGCAGACAACACAGAATTCTTAAGCATATTACGACGTTCAGTAAATAGTTTACTCAGATGTCTAATGGTGGTCTATCTAGATACTTTAACAAACCTAGGGTTATGAGCACGAACAATGTAATCCTCCCATGGTCTCACCCACAAACAGCGCCGCCACTGCTTGTCCCGATGCCCGGCCTGCTGCTTCAGTGCTTCTTTGCTTGTTCGCTTTCCCCTGCCCTGTGAACAAAGAGAACCCAACACGTCTGTTAGATTCCTCATGATTAATGAGGCTCATTCTATGCCAAGATATTGGATATTGGTTAGAGCATCACTGCATCAGCAGTGACCATGCATCTATGTAGAAATGTAGATTGAGAGATGAAGGGCCAACATGTTAGCTATTCACAACAGGTTTCCTTTTTTTTTTGTACTTGAAACCTCAAAAGGTTGATGCAAAACTTCATAGGCCATGACCTCAAAGTGGGCATCCTACAGTCGCCCAACGCTAGCTACAGATGGTCACTAACCTGGTTGTGGCAAAAATCCAGCATCGAACTAAACAGCCCATCTATGTACTATATACCTGAACCTATTTGTGGAGATTCAGCAGTTATGCCAATCCTACCCTAAGCTTACTAGCAAGATTATTTTTAACCTATGAAGGTCGAGCATATAGATGATAACCATCTTCCATAGTTCCATAGATTTCAAAGTTTCTTATTAGCTCTTCATTTCTGGAAATGGTATTTAAGAAACTAAGCTATCATGTTCCCTGAGTTCAGAAATTACAGAGCACATGACAAATACATGGATTATGCACAAGCCACAGTGCTACGCAGCAAATATTTTTTTTGGACACCTACTAGAGCTGGTAGCATGAACACAACAGAATCACAATAGTACTTATGAAGGCAAATGTATAGTATAGTCAATCGAGAAAGAGGATCGGTAAATCTGCAGACCACCTTAGCCCAGTTTGGATTGAACAAACGGAGTTCAATCCAGAATCAAAAGGATACTGGACCTTGTCATGCTGCTGCGTGCTTTAGCAAGAGCTAAAATACAAGTGTATGTGATGCATGTGTTTGTTTTACAAAGTTGGTAGGTCATATTCGAAAAATATATATTTCTAAATGAAGAGTTTATTTTGTTTTCAGGAATTAGCAACGTCTGTTCATATGTGTGTTACAAGGAAAAGACCTATCAGAATCATAAATGAAGTAAGCGGGGTCATTCGACCATCAAGGTAAAATTTCTCCTTATCTTTCACTAGCTGCCAGAGTACAGACATAGATCCCAACATCCTGTTCTATCTCAAACCTAAGTGCTTGACCAAATTTAGCAGATAGGTTACTAAAATGCACATGTATGAATTTGATAGTCTGTTATTAGTCAACAGTTTGACTTAGGACAAACTTAGATCTCTTATTTCAGGATGGAGGGAGTAATTTATTAAGATATATTGACTTCTATATCCCATTCTGTCAGTATGACACTCCTTCTAGGAGCACCTGGTTCAGGGAAGACAACTCTCCTAAAAGCGTTGGCAGGAAAATTGGATTCTTCTTTGAAGGTAGACTCTACCTACGTGCTACCAAAAGTACTTGTGTCAACAAGAAAAGGCAAAAACAGATAATAATGTCTAGCATTAACTAACAAAAACATATATTTTCTAAATGGACAATGATTGCCAACAGTTCAAAGGAAAAGTCATGTACAATGGAGAAGAAATGAATTACTCAACACCACAGTACCTGCGTGCTTATGTTAGCCAGAATGATCTTCACCATGCTGAGATGACAGTAAGAGAGACGATCAACTTCTCTTCCAAGATGCTTGGAACCAATAATGAATTTGGTAAGACATACTCTTGCGTATAGTGAGCTATTCATTTTGAAGATCATTGGAATGTGCTGCAATTTATAACAAGGCAAACACTTTTAACTCAAGAAGGAAGTATCTACAGAATACTCAAGATAAATCAATTTTTTCCATGGCATCTATACTGACACAAATTTCCTATTTGTATGGAATAACAAACTCAGAGATGCTAGGAGAAGCAATAAGAAGAAAAAAGGGTGTCATCAATAAAGTGGACCAAGATCTTGATTCATTCATTAAGGTAGTTCTTCTGTACTATTTTGTTTTTGCAAGACCGGATTATATTTTGTTTAGTTACTCAAATAGCTCTTCTCTCAGGCCACCACCTTTGGAGAAGGAAGCAACCTCACAACAAACTATATTATCAAGGTAACTTGGTTACTTGTTTGATTTGCTATATATCTTGACGATATAGTAGTAACAGTTGATTATATGCAGATACTTGGCCTGTCTGAGTGTGCTGATACCCTAGTAGGAGATGAGATGAGAAGAGGAATATCTGGAGGGCAAAAAAAAAGAGCCACAGTTGGTAAGCATTCCTATCAAGGCTGATGGTAAATACATATATAGCTATAGGGTTTATATATATGTAGCTGCCACTGGAAGCACACATTTCAATCTGAAAGAAAGCCACATTAACTGACATGCCACCACCTCAAGAATGCAAAGGTTCTTACCAGGGTAGGAATCTTCATGATAACAAAGAATGACTAGCTCTAAAATAGAATGCTTATAACTATCAAGTCAGATGGAAGTAACTAACCAGAATATTAGAATAAGGAACAGAGTAAGGAGATACTTAACTGGAACCTAACCTAAGTTGGCATACGTTTAAGTGGTGTTGTTTAATGCAGGGGAGATACTAGTTGGTCTAGCAAGATGCTTCTTTATGGATGATATATCAACAGGTCTAGATAGCTCCACAACATTTGAGATCATGAAGTTTCTCCAACAGATGGCCCATTTGATGGATCTCACAATGGTTATTTCCTTGCTGCAACCACCTCCTGAGACATTGGAATTATTTGACGACATTATACTTTTATGTGAGGGGCAAATTGTGTATCATGGTCCTCGAGAAAATGCTACAGACTTCTTTGAAACTATGGGATTCAAATGCCCTGACAGAAAGAATGTAGCTGATTTCCTTCAAGAGGTAATCAACCATCAAATGAGCCTAACTGCCTATAAGGAATATCTAAACATAACAGTGATGCCAACTGATAAAAAATGTATAGTGTTCAAGGATAACTTTCCAGAATTTTTGTGTGTGTTTGAGATAACTAATACATCAGATCCACAAAATTAAGCAGGCAATAGATGACTTACATTTCTATGCAGGAGCGTAAAATGCCACTATTCTGCAATACATGTGCTTTTGCAAAATAATGTAACAAGTTTTTCTCCAATTGGCCACTGACCAGGTAACCTCTCAGATGGACCAAAAGCAATACTGGGCTGGTGATCAAAATAAGTATCAGTACCATACAATTGAAAAATTTGCAGAATCCTTCCGCACGTCCTATCTCCCTCTTCTAGTAGAAGACAAACTGTGCAGTTCAAACAATACAGGAAAGAATAAGGTGGTAAAAGTGAATGCAAGTCGCCGAATATCCAGATGGAATATTTTCAAAGCATGCTTTTCAAGGGAAGTACTGCTGCTGAAAAGAAACTCTCCGGTCCATATATTCAAGATCATCCAGATAACTGTTATGGCTTTGGTGATCTCCACACTTTTCCTGAGAACAAAAATGAGTCACAATTCTGTACTTGATGCCAATAAGTACATGGGAGCACTTTTTATGGCTGTCGTCATAGTAAACTTCAATGGAATGACTGAAATTGCAATGACAATAAAGCGGCTTCCCACCTTCTACAAGCAAAGAGAGTTACTAGCATTGCCAGGATGGGCACTACTTTGTTCAGTTTACCTTATTAGCGTCCCAATATCACTTGTTGAGACAGGCCTTTGGACAGGCTTAACCTACTATGTGATTGGATATGCACCTTCCCCTATCAGGTACTCATCTCTTGGTACTTATATGCTGAATGACCTCTGGTGCTTCAATAGGTGAAAGTAAGAAAAAGATTTTCATTGCTTATGGCAGGTTCATCCAGCACTTTCTGGTACTTTTTGCCATGCATCAAATGTCAATGGGCCTGTATCGCTTCTTAGCGGCCATAGGAAGGACGCAAGTGATGGCCAACATGCTAGGGACTGCAGCTCTTATTGCAATCTACATACTTGGAGGATTCGTCATATCAAAAGGTTAGATGAATGTAGCTTAGCATACACCATGAAACATGAGTACACGACATACACTCTGTAATAAAAGTTCTGTGCAACAAGTTGCTAACCAATTCTGCAAACTGAAACAGATGATCTCCAACCATGGTTGCGCTGGGGATATTGGACGTCCCCATTCACCTATGCACAGAATGCGATCGCCCTCAATGAGTTCCATGACAAAAGATGGGCTACGGTAAGCACTAATTTCAACACTTGGAAGTGACAGCTATATGGTAGTATATCCGCTTTCAAATTAATTACACTAAGGTTCTTGATCTTTTGTTACTGATAGGAATTTTATTATAACGATGCAAACACCGTCGGTGAAGCTATCCTCAAGATCAGAGGGCTGCTCACGGAGTGGCACTGGTACTGGATTTGTGTCACCATTTTATTTGGATACTCGCTGGTCTTCAACATCTTCAGCATATTTGCATTGGAGTTCATGAACTGTATGTATACTAACAAACCTCGTAAATACTGAATTTAAATGAAAATATTAATTATCTGCCATGTCTACTACTTGCAGCTCCACACAAACATCAGGTTAACATCAAGACCACACAAGTGAATTCCGTGTACCACAGGCAGATGGTTGAAAATGGCAATTCATCAAATGATCAAGTCATCCTCCCATTCCGACCCCTCTCCCTTGTCTTTGATCATATCCACTATTTTGTTGATATGCCTAAGGTAAAATCTTGATCACTTATTAAAATCTTAACCGGTAGCTTCATTAATTCCAATCACATACTGAAGAAAATAATACAAATATTCCACCAGGAGATCACAAAAAATGGAGTAACAGAGAAAAAGCTTCAGCTGCTGCAAGATGTCAGTGGTGCTTTTAGGCCAGGAGTACTAACAGCTCTGATGGGGATAACTGGCGCTGGCAAGACAACATTGCTCGATGTATTAGCTGGAAGGAAAACTGGGGGATATATCGAAGGGACTATTAAGATAGCAGGCTACCCTAAGAAGCAGGAGACATTCTCAAGGATCTCAGGTTACTGTGAACAGACTGACATTCACTCCCCTAATCTCACTGTTTATGAGTCACTGAAATTTTCTGCATGGCTTCGTTTGCCTTCAAATGTTAAACCTCATCAAAGAGATGTATGTGTTTCAACCTCACCCCCTCTTTATCGCTGCTGGAGTCTGGAACCTAGTTCCTGACACAAGATTTCTCTTCAAATGCATTTCAGATGTTCATCGAAGAAGTCATGAGCCTTGTTGAGCTCACTGACTTGAAGAATGCCATGGTAGGCATCCCAGGAGCAACTGGCCTGTCAGCCGAGCAGCGGAAAAGACTAACAATAGCTGTGGAGCTGGTGGCTAGTCCCTCCATTATATTCATGGATGAGCCAACCACCGGCTTGGATGCTCGTGCTGCAGCAATTGTCATGAGAACAGTACGAAAGACAGTAGACACTGGACGAACTGTTGTCTGCACAATTCATCAGCCAAGCATCGAGATATTTGAATCTTTTGATGAGGTATGAACAAGTTCAGATGGTATAGCCGTATAGGTAGACAAAAATATAGCCACAACAAGCAATTGAGAAACATGATTAGTCTAGTGCTGGAGTGGTGTCAGGGCACAACTAAAACAAACATGATTCTTGACAAACTTAAACAGCAAACAAATTGGACAAGTGTACAGAAGTATGCATAAAGTTGTAAAATGCAGTCGTAACCTAAAGTAGAAAACGATCAAAGAACTACATGATAAACTGGTCTTTCTTTATACAAGTAGGTATAGGCACTACAAAATGACCACTCTGAGTTTCAAATTCAATTTGGCTAATTGCAGCTTCTGCTTATGAAAAGAGGTGGTCAGCTCATATACAGTGGTTCGCTAGGTCCACTCTCTAGCAACATGATAAAGTATTTCGAGGTAAGATTGCCTGAGATGGACGTTTATATTTGTAAGATACAGAGAGAAGAAAATAATGAATTACTTTGTAACAGGCCATACCAGGCGTTCCTAAAATAAACAAGGGCCAAAACCCAGCAGCATGGATGTTAGACATCAGTTCACACATAACAGAATATGAAATTGGAGTGGACTATGCAGAAATTTATCGCAACTCCTCCCTGTACAGGTACACCCAGTAGTACAGCCGTAAAGCTGCAAATAACTTTATTTTGACTGGTACAGAAAATAAGGTGGAAGTCAATCTAATGGAATTCTTGGTGGCACCTGCAGGGAGAACAGGCCTCTAATTGATGAATTGGAACAACCAGAACCAAACACAGATGATCTGCATTTTCCTCAGGGTTACTGGCAAAACTTTACGACGCAATGTGTGGCATGCTTGTGGAAGCAAAGTTGTGCATATTGGAAAAACTCAGAACACAATGTTGTCCGGTTCATAAACACTTTTGCTGTTTCAATCATGTTTGGAATTGTATTCTGGAAAATTGGCTCAAGCATGTAAGCAGATTATTATTATCTTTCATGAATATTAAATTAATTTTTATGCCCCAATCAAGATCTAACACAGATTTCGTGTGCAACAGTAAGGATGAGCAAGATGTATTCAACATACTTGGAATCGTATATGGATCAGCACTGTTCCTGGGTTTCATGAATTGCAGCATCCTACAGCCAGTGGTGGCAATGGAGAGAGTTGTGCTCTACCGTGAAAAGGCGGCAGGCATGTACTCCACCATGGCATACGCTATCGCTCAGGTAACAACACACATCAACGATCAACCTGTCCTAGGAAAATCCAGTTGTTTTGATTGCAACAACAGGCTTGGCACAGATTATGAACCGAAGGTTTACATGTTGCAGGTGTCGGTGGAATTACCTTACATGTTGGTGCAGGTGCTGATGTTCTCATCGATCGTGTACCCGATGATCGGGTTCCAGCTGACGGCGGGCAAGTTCTTCTGGTTCTTCCTATACCTGGTGATGAGCTTCATGTACTACACTCTGTACGGGATGATGACGGTGGCCCTGACCCCCAACATCGAGATCGCCATGGGGCTTTCGTTCCTCATCTTCATCTTCTGGAACGTCTTCTCTGGCTTCATCATCGCGAGAGAGGTACAATACCCCACATCTGAATCGGTTGAGAAATGGATTGAATCCATTAGCGAGCTGATGAAATCACCAAACCTAACCAAATCAAACCAAACCAAACCAATCCGTGTACCTGATGAGTGGAGTAAAATTGTGCAGATGATGCCTTTGTGGTGGCGGTGGGTGTACTGGGCCGACCCGGCGGCATGGACGGTTTATGGGCTGATGTTCTCACAGCTCGCAGACCGGACGGAGAAGATCCTGGTGCCGGGGCTCGGGGAGCAGACGGTGCGCGAGTTCCTGGAGGGGTACCTGGGCCTGCAGGATCGCTACTTTGAGCTGGTGACCTGTCTCCATCTCGCCATCATTGGCCTCTTCGCCTTCCTCTTCTTCCTCGCCATCAAGCACCTCAACTTCCAGCGCAGGTAGGAAGCCGCAGGCTCACACCACCACCCGCCGCCGCTGCCGGCCAATTTGCCGTGTGATGGCTGCAAGTAATACACGACTAGGGTCAGACAGTAACCACTCCCTAACAAAACTGTAGAAAAGGCTGGGAAGGAAGGGGCAACCTGTCCGGTTGCGAAACAGCAAAAGTGTACATATATTACTAGCACAGAGAAATTTGTTTCAAAAAAATTACTAGTACAAAGAAATGAATTGGTCATGAGTAATTAACTGTGTTTATCATGTGAAGGAATAAGAGTAGATTCAAGGGGAGCGCAAATAGTGTAATGATTAAGATTCAGAAAATGGAAATGTGTTGTTTGTCATCATTTCAGTTTTTGAATCTTGACTCTTGAGAGCTAGATAGAATGAAACTGCTGCAATTTTCAGCTCTGTGTGATGTTTATATGAGCAAGAGACACCATACTGATGCTCGCCGGTTGTATTATGTGATTGGCAGTGATCATGGTAGTGGGACCTCAGCGACAGCGCTCTTTCTAGAGAAAAGAAAAAGAAAAACACATCAGGTTTAGATTCAGGCGAAATTCAGCAAGTCTGTTGACTCAAAATGAACTTAAGTTTGCAAGCATCTCAAAAAGCTGGGGGAACTGGGAAGAAAGGGGCGCGACGTGGCCCTTTGCAAAAGTTTGCATAGATTATAGTACAGGGAAATGGATTAGTCGTGAGTAATTAGCTGTGATTATTGTGTGAAGGAACACGTAGTTTCAGGGGGAGCGGGTGCACCTATTACGATTTTATTACGATTGGGGAAATGGAAATGTGTTCTTTACGCTCCTTTTATAATGGAATAGTAATACAAAATAAGTTTGTCATTGTTTTAGTTTTTGATTCTTGAGAGTTAGGGCATGGTTGGAACGTAGGAATTTTACAGAAATCGTGCGGGAATTTCACAGAAATCAGGACATGTTTTGAACAAAGTAATACAAACAGAGAAATGAAAAAAAGTGCAGAAATGGATACTTTGAGAATGGAGGGGGAAAAGTACATAAACATAAGCAAGCATTGCAAGAGAGGGAGAGCAAAGATTCTTTTCCATGAATTGAAGTGGATGTTTTATTTCCTATATTTTGCACTACTATGGATTCCTTTGGAAAGAAACTCAACATTCCTTCGTTGTAAACACTATGGAGTGATTCCTCTCCTTTAGAACTTATTCCTTCAAAATTCTTTTGAAAATCTTTTGATCCAAACAGGCCCGCAGTTAAATTTCACAAGAAAAACACAGAACGGAAAAAAATTCCGACATTCCAAATAGACCCTTAATATAGCTGGAACTGCTGCAATCACCAGTTCTGTATGACGTCTGTATGAGCAAGTCACACCATAGTGATTGCTAGATTTTCTCTAGATTTCCAAAGGTTGTAGTATGTAATTAGCAGCGATCATGGTAACACAACCTCAGCGGCAGTGCTCTTTTCTAGGGGAGAAAAACAAACATATCAGGTTTAGGGTCAGGCGAATTCACCATGTCTGTTCACTCAAAGAAATAAGTTTGGATCTCCAGACTCGAGCAAGAGCATAGCCAAACTGTCACCTGAAAATCATGACCCAAAGCTAGTTTTGTGTTTTGCAATACTATCTTTTTTAGCAAACTGGCCCGACAGAGATGGGTGGGCCTTCCCGACGCCATTCTTTTGCGTACCTGCCGGCTGCCATAGTGTCATGCGATCGATCGATTCCTTCCATACCCCCAAACGGCTGAGGATCGGTCTCAACTCTCAAGTTCTGAACCGGGGTAGACGAGGATGGCAAATTCAATTTTCAGGGTGCCGTAGACATCTGCAATCCTGCATCTCTGCACGGCATCATCAAAGACGCGCACAGTTGCAGGCGGCACTCGGCATGGGGAGCGAGCGCCAGCCGATGCCATTGGACGTTTGTGCTATCAGATGCAAAAAGTTATCGGTTGGACACGGTGAGGATTTCTCTCCACTCGCCTCCTCGGCGCTGGAAGGAGACTGCAAGTGGAGGCTGTAGTTGTCTTGCAATGCAGCATGGTGCTCGCTGGATGATGATGGTTGATGCGACGACAGCTAGCGCCGTGTGTTGTGTACGCTCTCCTGCTGCCCGTCCCGGCATCCAGTGTGCGTGGAACTGTGGATGTCTGGATGATGCAATGCTTGCGCCTGCGTCCTGCCAATTAACCCGGCGCAGTACGTCAAGCCTTTGACTCGAAGCACTGTGACAGCGCCCTTTCATGACGCGCAGACAGCACGAAGCACCAGGAGCACTAGCGTTAACGGTTAATCACAGCATGGTCCGGTGGAGAAGTACCACTGCACGTACCCACCCAGAAACCCGTACACGAGCCCATCACGAGATTATCATGACCAACCATCCGCCGCCGCCGCGTTGCCAGCTCGCCGGCTCGCCGCTGCCAACGGGGCACGGGCGAAACCGAGAAATGATTTGGCAAAAGCGCCTCGTCGTTTGGCATGCGTGCGCAAACCAAAAGGAAGGCGGGCGGTGGGTGGATGGGCCGATGGGGAAGAAAAGAACGACGCGGCCGGGACCGGACGAGGGAGGAAGCATCCGAGCGCGAGCGGGATGGAGGCGCACCGTGCTCCGTGCACGAGCAAAATGCTAATCCAGCAGGCAGGCGGGCCCCGGGCCCCCGCTCGCCTCGCTAGTGGCGGCCTCGTGGCTGAACTTGAGCCGGTAGAGAGAGTTTAGGCTTTGAAGGGAACTAGTGGATGGCGCGCGCCCTTGCGCGCGAGAGTAAACGATCCCAGATTGCTTCATGGTGGTGACAATAGCATGTAATGGTGGCAAGCATGATAGTCTTGATAGATTCAAGTACAATGCAGGAAGCATAACTTTGATACGTCTTCTACCTGCATGTCCAGTTGGAATTGCTGCTGGATTGCATCTCTGATACTTTGATGGCCGATTGCATCGGTGGCTGACAGTGGAAGACTTGCTATCACTGCATTGTCAAAGACATTTGAGTTCTTGCTGTGGAGGTCTGTCTCGTTGATTATTGTCAGGTTTGGGTAATGGTAATTAGGCATCCTGTCGGTTGTGGCCTGTATATTTTTCAATTGAAGTTAAGGATTAATTTCAGCCAAAGGTAAGGTGATGTATAAAAAAAAAATCATGTCAATATACAGGACCTAGTTGTGACCATAGAATTAAGAACGGAATCATTCATCAGTGTACTATTCTTACATTTAGTACCCTTTTTTTGTGCAAAAGGAATCCTGACTATATTAACAACAGTTTATAAAGCTGTGAATCAGCACTGGCATACTGCTAGCTACTTTCGTTGGTTTAAATGGCACTGTCACATGTCAACACTAAGCATTACTAATTGTTTGCATGGATATGTCACTTTGTTTTTGTTTTCGTGATTCCTGAGACCGAAAGGATCAATGGTCCAAAAATTGAGCTGCCATTCAATGGATTGGCAAGCAGCGGGAGGGAGTAGGAGTACAGAGTTTTGCCGGATCTCACATGCTGCTGTTGTGGATGGGCTGGTGGCTGTGCTGTTAATTGAGTGGACTGTGAGTGAGGCAAAATTTAAAAGAAGGGTAACAAAACGAAAAAAAAAAGCGGGAAAACATAGGTAAAAATTAACGAACTCATATTTGCTAAAAAGCAGTATGATGGCCTGCGGACTTTAATATAGCTGTCTCACATGGTTCCATGATCCTTGTGATTCTATAGATGTCAGAGGCCGAGTAGTGCAATTTTGCTGTTGCCTATATCTGGATGAGTGGGTTGATTAGCAGGCACTGGGTATAAAAATAATCTGTTAGCTTAAATATTTGCTAAACAACACCTGTTGATTAAGAGCCACAGTGATCAGGCAGGTAATGGATAAACGGAGTTGTATTAATCTAGAGGGATTAGCTCTTAATACAGATTGAAGATAGGAATTAATCATCAACATAGTATTCGTAGGTTTAGTGCCTCTATTTGTGGAAAAGGTATCCTACTGAAGATAGGAATCGATCTCTGACGAGAAAGTGAAAATTCATGAGAAGCACAAATAGTGAGTGGCTGAACTCATTGACCAATATGCGACCATTTTTCTTTTGGTTAGGGTGCAACCTAAGGATTTAGGATGATTGTGGAGCCATTAACAATATAGATGCTGAAATGCACAGGGACAGTGATTGAGACAATTGGAAACTTGGCCCGTTCGCTTCGCTGAAAAAACAAGCCGAAACACTGTTCCGGTTGATTTGTTGTGAGAGAAAAACATTGTTCGGCTAAAAAAATAAGCTGAAAAGTACGGATTATAAGAGAAGCGAACAGGGCTGATTTGTTGTAATATTTTTTCTTCCTAATATAATTCATTCAATGCTATTGAGGTCTAACCTGTACTCTGAAAGTAGGCTGGAATTCGGTATTGCAAAACTTCATTTAGAAGGGGTCAACTAAAAATGTTAATTTAACATGTACCACCTATGTGTACTGTAATAATCAAAAAAACAAAAATCAATGGATATAAATGAGAGCTACTTTGGCCCATCGGTGTGGATGCGAATTCTGAACCTGCTTGATTCTTTGTTCTCAGAGAACAAAGAAATAGCATTATTAAGTATTCGTATATGTACAATAGGAAATTAAGGAACTCATCTACATTTTTAAGTTATGACCATGAAAGGAAGTACCTCTGAGATGGAAATTTTGCGACAACAGCTGGATCCTTCTAACTTTCACATAGCTTCTTTTGAGTTTCTGCACAAAACTGGAACTATTCTTATGTTAGCATTGGAGAAATAATCATATCAAGCTTTGGTAATTTTAAGCAGCTAAAAAGGGTAAGAGCAGTCGTCTATTTGAGAAGGGATCTAGGGTATAGTGTCCGCCCCCTTTTATATTGACTAAGAGTTGATAACTAAGTAAGTGAAATGCGACGCGCCCTCATCCACAAAGCTTACGGAAAAGAGAGAATTCCAGATATCGATTAACTGCTTGCCAACCTATCCCTAGACCGACTAATTGATTGAAAAAAT